GAACTTGTAGCAAATTCTGGGACAATTCAAATTTTTGACAATTTCGTTTTTTGTTGTTGAAAACTTGTGAACTTGTAGCAATTTCTTGTGAATTTTTTTTGACAATGTTCGTCTCGCAGTGTATGTACATTGTTTCATCACTGAATAAAGCTCCATTGACAATAGATCTGCTTCATGTCTATTCTGGGAAACCTTCAAGAGTTTTGGTGGGACACTTATTTTATATTTTACTCAAACACAACTTTCGAAACAAGATATGCCGTAGAAGAACACCCCTGTGGATAAATGGCCGATCCCCGCCCAATCTGATTAAAATCTGATGTAGTGTACAGGCTTTAATTATTTTGGCTATAAACTTATTTTAATTTAATTTTTATTACTTTTGTTATTAATGCCTTTTTATTTTATTATTTTACTTTGATTTTGATTTTGATTTGGTGATTTTTTTTTAATTCCGCCCTACATACATCTGATTCAACGCCTATGTAAGTCCCGTTCAAATCTCGCATAAGTAAATTACAGCCAATCACAGCCCCCCTTTCATACAGGCTGTCGGTTGCTTACTTTTCAGTGTTGCGATACTCTACAGGCAATCTTTCTGTACATTTTATTTTGCCCACTTGAATAAACCATTAATAGAAAATTGCCAGTATATTTTTATTTACAAAAGAAATTCCACAGCATTTTACAATTTTTGTCATTACATTGAATATTTTTTTCACTTCCAACAAATGGTACACTTCCTGATACATCTTCGCCAGCCGAGGTTCGTTTATTCAGTCATCTCTTCAATTTTACATCAAACACTGAGCATAATTATCTAGAATGGAAGCAAAAAAATAAGTAAATCGTAATGATTAGAACACTGTAAACAGCTATAGTAAACAATGCAAACTGATTTTAAATTGTATAACGGTCACCGGCCCACGGCATTGACTAAGAAAATTTGAGCCAATCAGCTGAATTACTTTAATAAAGAGTTGTTGTATAATGTACAAAATGTTGATACATTTTGATGAATATATTTACAGCTATGGCTTCAGTAGCGTAGACAATTTTGGCCTGATCGTCAACAAAACATCACCCGTCTCCAGGGCAAGCGACTGGAAAAAGATACCGGTGTTCGGTCGAACCGGTGGAAACAAAATCGTCACTCCCAGAATAACTACGCAAAATAACGATCTAAACTCGAACCATTCGAGCCACAATATAAACAGAAAAAAATGACTTTCGTTGTATTTGACAGTGATAAACTTACCGAAAAACAGTGTTTTTCTCGGTCGCAAACGTCGGTATAATCGCCATTTTATTTGAGTGTGTTTGCCATCTGACTCTGCCCGGTGACGTCACTATGTGAGCTTTAGAAGGAGGTCTGTGATTCGTTGACTAAAATCGTCGATAGTGGGTCTCATTGAAATCTTGTTACATAGGCATCGGGTCAGATGTATGTAGGGCGGAATTAAAAATAATTACAAAATCAAAATCAAAGTAAAATAATAAAATACAAAAGTAATAAAAA